TTTTATATACTTTTTATATAAATGTTTTGTTAAACTTGAAATATTTTTATAAAGCAATAGTTATCACAAAATTTATATTAGAAAATAAAGCTTGTTTTTTGGTACATAACACTTTAATCAATTTTTTAATAATATAAACTAATGCATTATAGTGGATGAAGGGGTCATGTACATTTGATCGTTAAAAAATCTATAAAAAAACATGATTACTTAAGGTTTTTTATAACAAGGAAACAACATACACATAGGCCTTTATATATCACGTAATTTTTTTTAATTAAATTTTAACTATCTTAACCTCACTTTTTTTAGTGACAAATTTAGTTCTTTTTTCATATTTAAAGCGCGGTTTACACAATCATGCCAATTTCAATGAAATGGGTTATAAATATTGATGTATTCTTGGGGGTAATTTAAAAATCGGAAAAATGCCTTCATAATGACCAACAAGGTATGGATTTTGTAATTATGCCAATTTGATTTGAAGGATTTCAACCACCCACTTGAAAATTGTAAATGTGCAAACACAAAGACTTATATTTAAATAAGGAAGTGGCAGAAAGCAAAATAAATACAGCCTGTGTACTTACATAGGTTTTTACGTGAATTTCTCCTATGAAAGGGTGTTGCTTTATTTATTTTACCAGCGTTTTGAACACAATATGAACCTCATAATATATATTTGACACAAAGAGAAATTTCTTATTTCACATTTATAGAATATGGGAATAATTGAATTTAGTGAATTTGATGGAAACAATTTTTTAAGAACAACTTCAAATTTTATCTCCTATAAAAATTTATGGCCGAAAACAGGCTTTGAACAACATTATTTTATTGAAATTTTCGAATTTGTTTTATAAATTTTCTCAATTTATCATTTCTGAAGCTATCAATAATAAATTTCATAAAAAATAGATGGGAATGAATAATTCATGCGATCGATTGTGTTATTAGAATTCACACTTGAAACTAGAGATTAGGACTCACCTAATTCCCAGCCACTATAACAAACCCCTCACTTGGAAAATTCAGAATGGCAAAATTTCAGCATTCCCACATTATATAGAACGAGATAGGTGACTATCCCCGACGTGCGTTTTTATCCTGAGCTTTCGCAGGATTGAAGGTTTGTAGCAGACAGTATGTCGATTATTAAAACACGAGTGTGGCGCTTTCGGTTAAATTCGTTACAAGTCGTTCAGGGAGCTTTCGCCTTGTTTAATAATAATGTTACAAAGCTCGCTTATTTTCTTCTTGTTATTTAATTAGAATAAACGGACCATATCACAAGTGAAAAATCACTAGAAAGGAAAAGCTTTTATCTCAGGGATGATCAAATTAGGTGTTTAATTTTAGTGGAGAAAACTTACTGAGGTTGTGAATTTTTCACCTTATTTTTTTTTGAGATATAACACTCCAGTTTGCTCATTAATTCCTAGCAAGAGATAATAGTAAAAAGACCAACCTATTGTGCTAATTAAATTTAATAAGTCTTGTTATAATATTAATTGAAAATGCTGTGAAAAGTTTAATTAGTTTGATTTTTTGTTTATCTTTGAGGCCTAAATTCCTCGCGTCGCAATCTCATCATCAAAATTAAATATCTGGACGGTTTTATCCCGAAGGAAATAAGCAAGAAATTTCCAATTTTGACAAAAAATAAAACAACAAACAAACGCTGTTTTTGTATTAATGATTGATATAAAAATAATTTAATTTGGAGATACGTCAATCTAGGTTGTGGCGAAAGCACTTACAAGAAAATAAAGTGGAAATAGGATTCAGGATCATTCGGTTTTTACGGGAGCTTGTAAAAGGACAATTCGTATCAGATCAGGATCTGAACTAGATTTAATTCAATTCTTTAGCGATATTTGTAAATTTAATTTTTTTATTTTTTGTGGGCGATTTCTAATTTGTTGTTTTTATTTTTTTCTTTTACTATATCATTTGTGTACTTCTCACCTTTCTTGTTTTGCAATATAATTTTATAACACTATACTTTACAATTTTTTTTCTTTTGCCCAAAGACAGTATACTAAAACACTAAAATATGTCACATATACTGTGTGATTTTTATAAAAGGGCAGGCACTCTTGAATTTCTATTTATAGCCTGATTTCAAAAATTTAAAAACTAATTTAAATGGCTTTTAATATAGTATAACCTGACAATTTTAGAATTTTTCTAAATTAATTTCTAATTTTAAATAGGGATCCAGTTTTTTTCATAATCTGAAATATATTAGTTTCCTTGATACAG